TTTTTTTCACGTTTAAGCTGTATCGTATATTGCTAAGGTCAAGGTTTTTTTATCGATTTTCTAGTTTAAATTCAGTGTTTATTTCATCAAGTTTTAAATTAGCAACCTAATAGTGGGATGTTGTAAGAGTTTTCCCAGGTTTTGCGATTCTGGCCTCCATATATGAATAACCAAATCCTTTTAGTTCACGAGATAGGCAATTTTAGAGATTTTTCAAAAATTTCTAGAGAATTTATATTTGAAAATTTTTCAATTTTTGAATTTTTCACCCCGTAGTTGGGTGCTGTCAGGGTACTCTCAGGGGTTGCGAATCTTGCCTTCAAAAGTCACTTCTCAAGTCCTTGTAGTTTTCGAGATATGACGTTTTTTCTGATTTTTTCCAAAAATTCTCAAAAACTTAGATTTCAAAACGTTGAAGATCTCATTGCTGTGGTTGGATATTGTGAGAGTACTCTCAGGGGTTGCGGATCTTGCCTCTAATTATGGCTGCTCAAATCCTTGTAGTTTTTGAGATACGACGTTTTTTAGGATTTTTTTTTTCAAAATTTTTCCAGAAAAATTAGATATAAAAAATTTCACAAAATTTGATATTGGCATCTCTGTTGTGAGACTCTCTCAATGTACTATGAGAAGTTGCCAATTTGGCCTCCAAATAGGACTGCTCAAATTTTCGTAGTTTTCGAAATACGACGTTTTTTTTCCGAAATTTTCAAAAAAAACTTAGATGTGAAAATTCCAAAACGTTGAAAATCTCAATCCTGTTATTGGAATCTGTGAGGGTACTCTCAGAGGGTTGCAAATCTTGCCACTGAAAGTGGTTGCTCAAATATTTGTATTTTTTGAAATATGACGTTTTAGGATTTTCTCAAAATTTTTCAGAGAACTTGGATTAAAAAAATTTCAAAAAACTTGAAATTACCATCTATGTAGTGAGGTTTTGTCAGGGTACTCTTAGGAGTTGCGAATTTTGCCTCCAAGTATGACTGCTCAAAACCTTTCAGTTTTCCAGATTTTACGTTTTTTTTTGTGATTTTTTCAAGAAGTTTTTATGAAATTTAAATTAATTTTTTTTTCCAAGTTCGAAATTCCTAATCTGTAGATGGGGGCAGTCAGAGTAATCTCAGGGGTCGCATATTCGGCCTCCAATTAAGAATCCCCAAATCTTCTTAGTTTAAGAGATAAGACGATTTTTGTGATTTTTTAGGAAATTTTCAGAAAACTCAAATTACAAAATAATTCATTGAAGTGAAATTACCAACCCTGTAGTTGTGTACTACTGTCAGAGTACTTTCAAAGATTGAGATTATTGCCATCAAATAAGACTGCTGAAATCGTGGTAGTTTTCGAGATGTGAATGTTTTTCTGGTTCTCAAAAATACTTTTTTTAGAAAACTTAAGATGAAGTTTCTCTAAATTTGAATTTCCCAACTTTGTAGTTGGGTTCTACAAAAGTACTCTCAAAAGTAGCAAATCTTGCGTCCAAATGCGACTGCTCAATTGCCCAGATGTGACGTTTCTTAGTTCGTTTTGAATTTTTTGAAGAGCTCAAAAAAACTTCACGAAATATTATGGTTCTTCACAATTTGAAATTAGGAACCTTGTAATTGGGTGCTGTCAGAGTACACTCAAAGAATGCAGATCTTATTTCCAATATATGCGATTTATTATGAGTACCGGAGGTGCGTTGCACGCTAGTTTAAATTAATTTTGTCTGTTGTAAGTTTTTGCAAATCTCTATAGGATGCGATGCAAAGTGCTGGAGAGAGCGGCGCTGTGTTGGATCTTGCCGACTACTGCCAGCGCCAACTGGTCTTCCTTTCTGCCTGTGAGCAGAGTGAAACTGACTCTATCTACGACCCCAAATTATCCATTCAGAGAGAAGACGAATCGGATCTACAGGTTGGTACAGCATACATGTTTACTGAGTCAGTTTAATTTGACTCGGCCTAAAAGATCCAAGAGGGCGAAATGAGTGAATTTACTTGTTGTTAATATTTGGTGCTTTTTGTTTTAGTACCTTGGCCGACAAGCACTGAAAATCAGATTTGACTGTGCAGTTAAATGTGTGAGCATCGTCCGCTACCTCTCCGACCACTTGAACACGTGAGATGAAATACTGTTCCTGTGTGAATAGATTTAGCTTGCAGAAACTGTCAATTGAAGCCTGAGCCTGTTTGCAGATTGCCAATCAGTGTTGTGACTAGATTAATCAGGACAAATGAAATGCCCCTTCTGCTAGTGCAATTAGTACAGTCTACCCCTTGGGTTAAAAGAGACCCAAGCACAGGTAACAGTGAAATGTATCTTCTGTTCGAATAATCTTATAATATTCAAGGGTAAGCAAGGGTATTCCAATCGGGTACAAGACTTTTTTTACCGTAACCAACCTTGTACACAGGACGCATCTGGACTCCTGCTGCTACCTTGGTTCATAATAAATTCAAGTTTCTTAGTGTTTTCAGAACACTTGTGCTGGAGGTAACGAGTACGCTTGGAACGGCAAAGGTCATGCGTTCGAATCTAACCAGAACCTGTGTTTTCAAACGAAAGTTTTCTGTTTCAAATAAAATTTTTGGAGTTATAATTGTCCGCTTATGTTTTGTCGGCTTAGTTGCCACATCTAAGAATAGTTTATTTTTGTTGGAAATTTTTGTTAGTTTATATATTTTCATTGTAGTTGCCTTTAGTGTTTTAGAACTTTAAAAATCCGGTGGAATCGAAATTTGATTTTGACATTGATTATAATTTTACCGGCGGAGAGACAATTCAGCCACAGACAGTTCAGCCGATTGGAAATACAGACAATTCAGCCAAACAATTTCAGACAATTCGGCCTATTTAGATCAAAGAGACTAGATAAAAGGAAAATTTAAAACTTTTCTAATTTCATTAGAGTCAGAAGGCTTTCAACACTTAAACAAAGAAATGTGAAACATCAATTAACAAGTTTCAAAGATCAAAACCAACTTGCTATGCATCTTGTTTTAAGATATATGTACATTGAAGGTGCAAAGTTTTAAATACTTCTGTAAATGGTCTCGATTGTAGTTTTTTGCGTTTTGAACGAGTTTCTCATTGGCGATCAACATTCTCTCAACATTTATTTTGGCATTTTTTGCTCATCTTTGAAATGTGTGATCAACTTGGCGTGGGCGGGGTGCTTTGTCGACACGAATTTATTGAAGCTGCCATTCCATGCCTCCAATGCATTGTTCGTACGAGGTTCACCGCTGAGCACCAGATTGAAAACGTTCCAATCGTGTCTATTCCCTCGACAGGCACCAATATAGGTGTCTTCAAAATAGTCCGATAGACTCTGAAATTCCTCTGAGGGATCCTCTTTTCGGAGAGCCTCAAAAGCGAAAATAACGTCGTCAACGGGAACGAATGCCAAGCAAATCCTTTTTTTGACATTCAGTCGAAACTCGTCATCGTCCAAGTTTTTGTACATTGCGCCATACTGCCTGGCCTATATGGAAGAAACAGAATTGATTTTCTGTATCAGGCTGGATTTTCCTTATGGTGTTGCGAACAGCGGCTTCAACATCAATGACTACTTTTTTTTCCAAATTGCTCTAGGCAGCCAAAAAGTTTTTCCTATGTGTCTTGAGTCTTGTTGGGGAGCAGAGCATACAACAAGGGTATAACTGCGTTTTCGATTACACCATAAATAATATGAACTTAGTAGAAGACATCTGGTGCCACTGAAAACGTTCCATCGCAATGACAGATTTCTGACTGAGAAAGCAAATCAAGCGCTAGTAATGTTGTAAAAACTAAAATTCTACTGTCCGACTTACCAGAATCAAAATACAGGAACGTATCACCGCTGTGTGTGAGTTTGTGAGGTTCAGGAATTTCGTCGACGCTCTCAAGGTTTTTTGGTTTTGGCATTGTTTCTAAGGCTTGCTGCCTGATTCGGTTTATACTCCGAAGAGATGTTGAGTAACTCGGTATTGTAGGCGCTGCATAAAGAGGCAGGTCAATTTGGGCGTTGAAGACAATCTGTTGGGGAGCGTTACTAGTGTTTGCGGCTTTTTCTCGAACTTGGTTAGCAAAATTCTTAGCTTGAATTTTTGAGGGGCTCGGTAAATGAGCATGCTCGGCTTTTAAGGCGAATTCTTGCTGTTTGTCCCAATAACCCACTGCTCTGCAATTTCCAATTGTACATTGCCATTTAATGAGACCGTTCTTAACTTGTTTTTTTTTCACGGTATCTATAACCATCAAGACAAAGATGCTTTTTTCCGCGTTCAGATAATACGAATTCCATTTAACGTCAAATTTTGCTAAAAGTGAAAGATTTAAAATGATTCAGATACTAATCAACCAGTTGTTCAAGCTAGTTACTAATGAAGATTAATCGTTGTTAATTGTGTAAATGGACAATCTAACTGCAAAAAGTAGGCGTTAAACGCGGTACTGGTTTCTGGTTGGACCGTATTTTAATCGCAATTAGTTTATCTTTTAAAGAAGTTTAAGTTTCTAATTAGTTTCAACCAACTACCCAAATTACCTGATAGGCGGTTGCACCCTCCCCCATCTAAGGCATAAGAATATCAGCGTAACTGTGTGGCCAGTAAGTGGTAGGGGTGGTCAACCCTTTAACTGATATCCTTTTTTACTCCCAATCTCGGGTCTACTTTCGCGTAAATTGGTTAACTTTTAAGTATTATGCAGTTTTTTGTTCGATTTTTGCTTGGGTACTATTCTAAAATTGGAAACATAATGAGTTGCATAAAGTTTTATTATGTTTAGGTACTGCTTATGTTGTTTTTTTTTGTTTTATGTGCATTTGAAAGGAATAAATTATAAGTCGTCTAATGAAAGCTTTGATGTTTTGCCGCATGTGAAAAGTTTTTGCGCGCACGTTTTAAAACTTCAAAACTGTCTGAATTGTCTTTGGCCGAATTGACCTACTCATTTTGACTGAATTGTCTGAATTTGAAACTGGCTGAATTGTCTGTGACCGAATTGTCTGAACACCAATTTTACCAACTAGGTTTGTTTGTTTTTTTAATTTGGTCTTTTCGGCTTAATCGTTTTGGGTTTTTATATCGGCTTAGTGGTCTCCTTTTGGGGCGTTTGGGGACAGAAACTTTTTTTGCTTGTGTGTAATTTGAGGGGAAAGGGGATTTGAAATTTTATTTATTAGTTTGATTTTTTTTCGTCTTGAAGGGTTTCATAGCATGAATTTCTTGCTGAGAAAAACTTCAACTTTTCGCAAACCGATTCGCTCTATGAAATTTAAAATTTATAGCCGTTTTAGGATATGGCGTAAATTGAAATGAATCGAAGTCTCATTTTCTTGATAGCTTAATCAAAAGACTGGGTAATTTTTGCGAGCCAAGTGAGTGGCAAAATTATTCTGAAGGACTCAACATTCTGATTCCGGATTTTCTAAAAGATTTTTTTTTAAATTATCGTTTCATACAAGATCACTTTGATTGAACTTCAAGGCTAGCCAGTTTCTGCCAGTTTAGTTCTGTGTGCAGCATTTTTGACCGTTTTTCATTTTAAAGACGATGTAATTAAAGGTACGAAGTGCTCTTTATTAAAAATAGTTAAAACCCAGCTTGAGCTTTTCGCAATTTTAGTTGGAATGAGATACAGAAAATTTGATTTTGAACTTCAGGTTTTTTTGCGAATTGATTCACGCGCTGATTCATGACTGCAACGTTTTCTGGGTTTCTCTTTGCTTAAGAGAGAAGAAAATGCTAGAAGAGCCTTCTTTTTGTGAGATCATTTTCATCGCTAGTTAAATGATACAGGCTGGTTTTGTAAAGCATTTTTTTAGTTATTACCATAAATTGTTTCCTCCATGTTTGTGAATTAAGCCGTCAAATTATGCTAGAGGTTCTTTATAGTAAAACGTTAACAGGTAAGACATCGAAGTTGATAGATGGTAAGTGGGAGCAGATTCCTGCGAGCGACGTGCACAAACTGACCAACATAGAGGGTCAGATCTGGCTGGCCATCTACCAGTTCCTGTTCAGTCCAGAGGCCAACAGGAAGTACGAGATGACCAGCCACACCAAGGAACAGTTCATGAAGGTCAGTCTGATTCTCTGTCTTTTGATCCATTTGAACTGGCTTCGGATCCATTGAAAAGTAGCATTTAAAATCAGTTGTCAAATAGACATGACTCGAGCATATTAGAGCTTCGTGTTGCTATTTTTTCAAACTGCAACGTTAAACTGGACGGCAAAGACTTAAAAGCCCAAAATTTTCTCTGTTGAAGGTGAAAACCGAAACCTTAGCAAAAAAAAGCATATTAGATTGCGTGAAAGCAAGCAACCAAAGTCTTTCAAAAATTCTATTGGGAGTTTGATTTAATGGATGATATGTTTGGGTTCAGCTGATTGGACACTTGAATGACGTAGTAGTGGACCAGATTCCAGCTCTGGGTCAGCTGAAAGAGTATCTGCTGCGCATGCAGATGCAGTCCTTCCCAGACCAGCCTGTCTCCTCCTCCCACCCCATCATAGAACAGCTGCCGGAGATCAGGATGAGGATGGAGGAGGACAGCAGTAGCAAGTGGGGATCCATCGCCAAGTACCAAGTGAATCACTATTTCTCACCCTCAGAGGCAGATCTCAAGAGACTTGCCACCAAGTAATGCTTTTTATCACTTTTCAGTCCATTCCCAAAATATGAGGAAAACTGACTGCTCAAGACTTGAAGCGACTAGTCTATTCGGGCGGAATGGGAGGGTTAGCGCATTCCCCTTTTCCTGATGAGGCCAACACCATGACAGCTTAAAAGTAACCTTGAAAAGGTTAACGGTTTTTGTTTGAAAGTCCGCCGTCCTTCTCGACCCCTGGAAAAAAAGTTTTTTTTCTAAGTTTCATATTGAAGTCGCTATTTGTACGCGATGTGATAAGAAAACTGAGATATGAATGCCCATGAATGCTTCCCCCCGCCCATGAGATATGAATAAAGTTTCGTCGAAAAATGAATATAGTGTTCTTGAAATATGTATAATTAGGCTACGAACATTTGATTTGTGGTTCGAATATTATTATTGTTCGCTTGCTTCAGTTTTGCCTCCCTTTATGACTCAGAGGCCCTGGATGTCATCCTGCCAGGTATCCCCAAGTGTTGTGTGTGCAGTGAAGATGCCAGCAAGAGATGTAGCAAGTGCAAAATGACCTGGTATTGTTCAAGGTATGTAAGTTGAGGTAGTCTCATATCAAACATAGGAATGGATATGATGGGAAGTGTGTCGATAAGGCTCATTTATAGTCCCGCAGGAATAAAAATATTGTCAGTTTTTGTTTCAGAGACTGTCAAGTAGCTCACTGGTCTGAACACAAGAGTAAATGTGCATCTTCGCTCTAAACTCAAATAAATTCTGATTATCTATGTTGAAAATAACTGTTCATATGTATCTCTTTGTACATAACCAACTTCGCCTTAATTTTTATAAAAAGAATACAAAATTAAATGTTAATGAACGAAGGAATTTGTTCTGGCTTTTAAGGGATTGCTAGAATCCCGTTTTTTTGAACTTTGAACTTAATGATTTTATTGACTTCCTGGTCCATCAATGTCATTTTCTTAGCTCGTGGTAACGATTCATTGATTTTTTGTTTGAAGGGTTGGGTTGGTTTTTGTCCTACTTATCCAGATGAGGTTGAGTGATATATCGTATTGAAGCCCCATTAGTCGTGTCAGAGCTGAAATGAAAACAAATCATGTCGGTTAAAAGCGGGCGGTCCAAATTTGTTTTGTTGTGGACTATTTCGAGAGAGGAGTTGAGTTAGGGCAATTACTTAAAAAATTCTTATAGCCGCTAGAACAATCGGTTTACTAGGACAACAAACTCTCATTTCTGTCTAAATTATAAATACCAGTTTCATGGCTAAACAAGGATAGTCGGTTGATGTGGAAGCAGCACAATGTTCTGACATATTCATAAATTAGCCGCAAAAAGTTTTTTTTCTAAGTTTTATATTGAAGTCGCTATTTGTACGCGATGTGATAAGAAAACTATGCAAACGTGTAGAACGTTAGTGATCTAGGCATAATCAACATTTGTCTTAAAAATGAATAAACAATTAAATGAAAAAAAAAACAATTTTTTTTCCAAGGTAGCGCTAAATAGTTTTCGTTTTAAAAAATCCAGTTTCTTGGCCTAAAAGTTTTCATATAGCGAACGTTACTCGATCGTTTTACTTGTTCAAAATTGGACGGAAAAAATTTCGATCAGGTTTTTCTCGAGACAGTAAAATTGTTGAAAGGGTTTATACTGTCGTTCGAATCAAGGCTGAAAAAGCTTCAATATCATATATCAGTCAACCCATTCTAATGGTTTTTTGTAGTACCTGATTTTGCTCGGGTAAAAAACTGAAACACTCGAATCTCAATTTCGTCCTCATTTTCATTGGTCGGAAAAAAGATAAGTCCTTGAGTTCAAGAACAATGTTCCAACATTGTGTTGGACACCTGGCTTTTGCTACCTCGTGAGAAGTACCGCAGAATTTCAACTTTATGAAATACTTGAGTCAAGTGAAATCTAAATTTCCAAACGGAATATAAAATCTAAATCTTTGATCAAGTTTTCTCAAATTCGGTGAATATTGATGTCCTGATGATGAGTATTCTTGAAAGTACGAGCTTGAGAAATCGTTTCTTTTTGCACGAAGTTTGACAATGAATACTGTTATGAGCATAGGAAATAATTCGTTCACTTGAGTTAAAAGATTTTCTACAAAATTTGTTGACTATAATTAACAGCAATCTTTTGGAATTAGGAATTGTATTTAAGGAAAAGTTAAAGCTCAGTTGTTTCAAGAATTGGTTTAGAAGTGTTAGGTTAAGTTGACTAACTAGGCAGAAGATAACAAGTAGCAATTAATTCAAATCATAAATGAAGTAAGGGTTGAGTTTCAATTGAGTAAACTAATTAGCTGCATCTAAGATTTTTTAGGGTCAACTTTTTTAGCAAACTTTTCGAAGTACAGATTTATTCGGGTTAACAATTTGAAAACAATTTTTGCTGCTGACAAGCTACTTCGGCGCTGTCTATGTAGTTTCCGAATCGTGTATAGTTCATTGCATACTCCTCTGTATACGGCTCATTTATCCTAATTAAAGTGGCCTAAACTTTTCTCAAAATTGAGTTTTTGCCAAAAATTTGGTTGAAATTCAATTTTTTGTGCGTCAGCTGGCACTTTGTTGGAGCTATTTTAAATAGTTTTAATCTTAAAAAATTCTGGTGCACATTTTAAGTAATGATAATTTGTTGTCAATAATTAAATACCCAAAGTCAAACCCATTAGGAGTATTTTCAGAAACAAGTTTTTTCCAATCTATTTTGCAAATGTTGGTGCTAATTGTGGTTTCACTCTTAAAGCACCACCCCAAATTGGCTATTCAAAAGCATGCTCGTTAAAAATTAATCTCTCATTTGATTTTTTTAAATAGATACTTTTACAAAAAAATTTAGCAATAGAGTCAACTTGCTCAAGCATACACTTCAATTTGAAAAAAATACAAAACTTTTCGGGTTATAAACTTGAAACACAATTTTTTGCTGCTGACACGCTACTTCGGCGCTGTCCATTTTTTTCCGAATCATGCATAGTTCATTGCATACTCTACTGTATAGGAATCATTCATCCAACGAAATTTTAAATTCAGAAATCAAGAATAAGTTAAAGGGTTTTGTTCACATCAAACGGAGTTAACTACTTTACGACTTCTCAAATTTTTTGCAATAGAGTCAACTTGTTTAAGCAAACACCTCAGTTTTCAAAAATAACTTAAATTGTTTTCGGGTTAACTACTTGAAACACAATTTTTGCTGCTGACAAGCTACTTCGGCGCTGTCTATGTAGTTTCCGAAGCGTGTATAGTTCATTGCATACTTTACTGTATAGGACTCATTTATCCTATTTTAACTAACCTAAAAATTTCTCAAACTTAAATTTTTATCGAAAATTTGGTTGAAATTAAATGCTTTGGGTGTCGGCTCGCCTTTTGTTGGAGCTATATCAAATAAATTGATTCTTTTAAAACTCTGTTTCATTTTTTAATATTGTTAAATCACTGTCCTTAATTTTTAACAACCCATAGTCAAACCCACTGAACTCTTTTCTGATGCTACTTTTTTCCAGTCTACATTTCAAATGATGTTGCTATTTCTGGTTGCTCTTTTTTTAAAGCAAGACCCTAAATTTGCTTTTCAATAGCATGCACGTTATAAATAGATAACAGTGGATACATTTTTTGCATCGAATGCATACTTGTCAACGAGCCGGGCCGGCCGAGGTTTTCACTTTTGTCAACGGGCCCCAACGGGCCTTACTTTTATTGACTAACCAATGTTATGTTTCAGTGCACACTGTACAGCTTGGTATCCGAAAGACGGGCAAAACTTTCGCCTACAACCGTTGAAGCAATTGAAATGGTTTCCATGGCTTTTAAAAAAGGTCTTTATAAATAAGTAAAACAATTAATTAAAATTGTTTTGAAACAAATTTGTTTCTTACCAAAAAAGCAGCAACGGGCCCCAACGGGCCGATATTTAATAAATTCCCTGTTTATCGGGCCGCCAACGGGCTCGACTTGAATTATATCGGGCCGGACCTGGCCTCAATTATGGCGGCCCGTTAACAAGTCTGATTGAATGAACAAAATAAACTGTTTGCTTCCTAAACAAAACAATAGGAAATTCTTGCGTTTTATCCAATTTCATTTTCCAATTCAATTTATTTCAAAAAACTTTCAAATGCTAATTTTGTTCATAATTTTGGTTTTTACTTTTCAATTAGTTGCACACAAAGTTAGAATGGTTACCTTATGTTTATCGCTACACCAGTTTTAACATGCAAAATTTGTGTTTCTCACTTTTACCGCTTTATATAAGCTTTAGTAGCTCAATTGTATAAAGCATTCAACTGGATCAGGTCCAATCCTGTTGGGTGAAATTGTTGCGAAAATCATTAATTAGTTTTTCTGACCTTTGAAAGCTACTTTTTTGGATTTTTTTTGTTTGCTTTTTTCAGTTTTAAAGTAAATCATTAACTATTTTTTGTTTATCATTTTGATTTTTCGTGACGAAGTTAAACAAAAAAATCGACATAGTTCAATTGCAACAATTTTGTTCTCTGTAGTGAGTTTTGATCAGTCACTGTGTTAGATCTAAATCAATTGACTTAATTTTTTTTTATTTTTCTGCTCGGATGAACTCTAATTTGCAAACAAGGAAAACCCTGACTTCAGCTAAAAATCTGAAGAGTACGCTCATCATCAGAGTGACTTTTTAAAAACTTCGACATAATTTTTGCGGTGTCAGTCTTTCTTACTAATAAAGTGTAACGTTTGTGGTGCTTTGGTTCAGCGTATTATTTGTAGTATCTGATTTTGCGCTTAAAACTGAAACACACCCGAATCAAAAGTACCTCCCCATTTTCAATGGTCAGAATAAAGATAATTCCTCAAACTCATTAACAATTTTCCGAAATTGTGTTGGATACCTGGCTTTTGCTACCCTTTAAGATGCGGTACATAATGAATCCACGAATCCATTATCGTGATTCCTCGTATCTATTTAAGTAAACAAGCTAATTTTCAACACCGAAATTGTGTTGGATACCTGGCTTTTGCTACCCTTTAAGATGCGGTACATAATGAATCCACGAATCCATTATCGTGATTCCTCGTATCTATTTAAGTAAACAAGCTAATTTTCTGTTTCATAAGACGCAGAACGAAAAGAGGTTCTTTTTTCGTAATTTTTCCTATGTTTTAGCGGAGCAAATGTATCAGTAGGGAAATGTTTAAAGCGTCAGACTTTAGTGGTTGACTTGTTTTTATTGAAAAACAACCTTCTTTAAGTGTCATTGAAAGCAGTCAAAACACTTTTTTGAACTGACTTTTTTTTCCAGTTCTGATTTAGTTCTAAGTGCTGCAAATGCATCTGCTGAAAGCAAAACAAAGTACGCTCTCGAGTACCACAAAAGTTCAACTTTATGAAATACTTGAGTCAAGTGAAATCAAATTTTCCAAACCGAATATAAAATCTAAACCTTTTGAGCAAATTTTCTCAAATTAAGTAAAAATTGATGTCCTGATGATGAGTCTTCTTAAAAGTACGAGCTTGAGAAACCGTTTCTATTTCGACGAAGTTTGACAATGAATACTATTATGAATATTTTACAGCAATATTTTAGAATTAATAAATTTAATTAAGGAAATGTTAAAACTCAATTAATTCAATAAATGGCTTAGAAGTCTTAGGTTTACCAGATTAACTGGGCAGAAAACAACAATTATTTCAATTTCGAAAATGAAGAAAATATTGAAAAGTTTCATTCACAGCAAATGCAGTGAATTATTTCTCGACTCAAAGTTTTTGCGAAAGAGTCATTTAAAAAAAACACTTCAATTTTCATTGAGCAATATCGATTGATCGGGTTTTTAACTTGAAATACAGATTTTGCTG